ACATTTTACGGCCTTATTTGAATAATTTCAAAAACTCATGACCCGCCCTTAAAAGAAGGTAAAGCAGGAGCCCTAGAGGGAGTGCAAAAGTTAATATCGAAAAATATCCTACTCTATATAATCCGCTAAGTATGTCTGTCCGTGTGTGTGTATGTTTGTGTGTGCGTCTGTCTGTGTGTCACGAAATTCATAGCGCCGTCCCAGTAGCAGTGAGACATTGATTTCAAGAAGTGATGTAGGGGTGTGACGGGAACACTATTGGTAGGTGACAGGAAGTTATATCAGTTGATAAGATTCGATAAGGGGCTGTAGAAGGAGAAGGTCACTATAATCATAACGCAAGTGACAGCATCAGCCTGCTCTCGATTTTAAGATATGATATAGAGGATAGTCCAAGAACATCATTAGTGGGTCACAAAAACTGTAAGCTGCTGATAAGATTCGATAAGGGGCGTTAGAAGGAAAAGGTTACCATTCACAGCGCAGGTCACAGCAGCAGTCAGCTCTTGATTTCGAGATATGATATAGGATGAGGGCCAAAAACATTATTGGTGGGTAATAAGAACTGTGAGCTGCTGATAAGATTCGATAAGGGACGTTAGAATAGTGAGGTCATCGTATTCATAGCGCAGGTCACAGTATCAGCGAGGCGTGCGTTTCAGCAAGTGATATAGAGAGTGAGTTGGGAACATCAACCGTGGGTGACTAGAAGCGATAACTACTGATAGGGGCTGATAATGGAGGTTGCAGTCGTCGCCGCTGTATAAGGCGGTTCACGCTCTCAAATCATAGAGATTTAGTGATGAGGACATTGATGACGGGTGAGAGGTAATCTTATCAATGACCACGATTAATAAATTGATACGAATATCATCTGCGCTTAACCTCGGTCACTCGCTTTAATGCGAGTGAATTACGAGGCTCCAGATAGTGAAACTTTCCTGCTGGGCCAAATCTTTCCGTGACTAACACCATGAAAATGAACTTATCCCACTATCCTTACTCTATATATAATGTAATGTCGAAATGTCGACGGCGGGGGGGGACACAAACAATGCGACTATATCCGCAGCAGGCTATGCAGAATGCATATCAGTGCATATAAAACAAAAAATAATACGATGCCCCGTTTCAGGAAATACCATCAACCCCACCCCAAATACGAGCCCCTCCCCAGAGCAAAAGTACGACCCCCTCCTCATGTGTTTCACACAAGGATGCTGTACCCTGTCAGTGTGTTGTATGGCCGTTATGGCGCGGACCGCAAGTATAAGCGTTTACTATGGAACGCAGGATCCGCAGGTTTGCGCTATCTGTTATGATTGTACCAATACAGAGCTGTATGAGCAACGCAGTGATTGGAAGAGTTTCGTTCCCCATTATGTAGCGCGCCTGGCGAAGCCAGGCCAGCTCGGCGAAGCCGAGCTAGAGAGGAGGAGGAGAGCTCGGCGTTAGCCGGGCGATCCGACTGGTAGTGGATATGAGGACTAGAAGCACCCGGAAGCACTTTGTAGAAGCTCATAGCTCAAGCAAGCTGGTGAGAATCGGGCATTTTCTGAACAAATGGTTTACATTTCGGTTATATAATACGTATATACACCCTTCAAAATTCCACCCGAAAAGTCCTTTTTGAAAAAGTGGCCGTTTCAGGAAGGCAAAACAGCGCGCGTCGTACGTTGGGAACCTCCAGCGAGGAGTAGGGACTGGAAGGTGAGGGGGGGGAGTGGTCGTTTTCGTTGCTCGAGTAAGGGATTGTATCTGCCTTCGAGGAGAATTTGTGAAGTTGTTGTGCAAAACTTGTGAATTTTTGGAAGAACTTTTCGGCTGTTGACTTTTATCGGTTTTTCTTGTTTCAGTTGCGTTATATTTCCTATCCCCTTATCTACCAATTCGCTCGACGGTAGGTAGGGTGGGGCTGAGCTAGGGGTCTCCCCGAAGGAGGAAGTCCCGTATGGGTCGTGTTTCGCTTTGGACAAGTCTGACGGTTCTCTGTGTCTACGATACACGCTGCAGTATGTGCAAGACTTCCTGAGATCTATCGTGGAACATCGTTATTGATGGCGAAAAACGATTAGTGAAGAGTAGCAAATACTACTTACATACTTGTGGTGCTGCGGACTATCGGATATCCCCCATCAATAGCAATGATAAAGATATGATAACACTCTCAAACGTCGCATCATTCAAGGCACGGTCCGATGCGAGCTGCGTGACTTCATCCGTCCACTTCAAATAGATCGATGTTAACGCGAATGCGGACGACAACTACAACGTCGCAACATGGATCTCCCGACCGAGACTCTTCCATCGCTTCAGGTCGCCTAACTGTTACTGGATTCTCTTTGAACAAGGGATAGAAACACTCTCTCATAGGGTGGCTGAGCCCTGCATGGCGTTTTGTGGGCAAAGTAACTGCAAAAGCCTCACGGTTACCAATGGTGGTGGGATTTGCGGCCATATCTGATAACAGTACTGAAGAATATTCATTAGGTTGACCTTTTTGACAGATTTCACCATGCGGTTTTAGTTTAGCACCCGAAAAACGAATACGGCCCCAGTCCGAAAAGGTAACCACTTTGTAAAGTACTCAACATACAATTGATATCGTCGCAATCAGTCGAGGCGGTTTCGCCTCCGCACGGATGGAATGAGCTCGCCTGCAGCGTTTCCACAATTCCTTACCAACTAGATCACTAAATTATCATTGGTAAAGCAGGGCAGCCAAGAACGGCTTCATTCTGATTTTCATACACCGCCCTCGCTGATCACGACGTTGTAAACTATATCACAAATTTGCCGTACAAATTTGATTCATATGAGACCACAGCGTCTGGAAAATAAGTAACTTCCGCTAGAACAACTCGGAGAGAAGTAGCGTACAGCGTGCGGAGAAGTGGTAACACTCTTGGAGTCACAAATGTTTACAAAACTTTACGAAACCGCCCAGTACTCTGGCAGAAAATCAAAATGTACCCCTTCACTTTTGAATAGACTCGCGCCAGAAAAACGACCAGAAAACCCAGCGATTAATAAATGAACTCGAGGAAAAACACAACTTCAACATCGACAGACTGCTGTCTGGAGCTTGATGCTCACCCAGTCAAAGGGCGCTTTGTCGAGCCATAAATCAACGCGTCGGCTACGAGGAGTCTGCTGTTGTTGCTAACTACCCATGAACGCAAACAACTTCATAATCCCTAGTTCAGAGAAAGAGATAAGATCTCGCTCTCAACTTTCTATTTTTATAGAAAATGTAGGAAAGGGTGATCTGCCCCCTGTATCAAATTTGACTACAAACTTGGAAGGAAAAACTCGAAACCAGATCTTCAAAAACAGCACCAGTTACCGGTTAGCCGTTGGCTTGTAGCAGCTGACAATGAGTTGCAGCATTCAGTACAGAGACGAAATTTTAGTTGTATATTTCATGACCGTTGCTAGATTTGGTGGATGTAGCTCACAGGAGTCATTCGGTCTAATGGTCTTCATCGGAGGGCTTGTTAGACGAGATTGGGAAAATTCATTAAAGGGATACTTCATTCATCATTTCGCCACAAGTCAATTCATATCACCCTGCAAATCACCTCCGAACTTCACTTACCCACTCATCTCATACTACCCTAAAATTGAGAAAAATTCTGCTGAAACCTTGTTCATAGGGGTATTTGCGCACTGATCGCGAATGCCATCCTACGTCTTTCGGCGCGGGCGCCAGTTGGCGCTATTAGACGTCATTATCCTCCACCACCTTTTTCCCCGGAATCGGCCTCCATTATTTAATGAACTGATTATAATATGAATTTTTTCCCTGCCGAAAACGTTTTTCTTGGCTCTTGAATATTGGCAATGCCATTTTAGCATTAAACCTTTTCCACCGAAATCTAGATAAACCAGCATACTGAGCAGGGCACATCATTGGTTGGGGATTTTTCTCGATTCCGCACGACCCCTCCCCCCCCCCCTTTGTTCGGGGTTGGTACGACCCCCCCCTCCGGCCCTCTGCCCTCCTCATCGAATCGAGCCGGCTGTCGAGCGGGAGGCGGCGAGTGCGGGGGGGGGGTGGGGGGTATTATAGAGTACGATGGACAGCGAAAATCACGAAGTGACTCAACACCACATCCCAGCCAACTTCTAGAAGGCGAAAAGTAAATTACGACCCCATCCGCTGCCAACAGTGAGAAGTAACCACCCTTATTCTTTCTTACAACCGTGTCCGTGAAGCGTTAAAAAAAATCAGCATCAAAATAAAATTTTTCCAGGATCTCAAAATACGACCCCCCTGTTGGGGATTCCCCAACAACTGCGTGCCCTGATACTGAAATTATTTGCCTTCCTGATCATGATTTTAATTATTTCCAGCGTAAGGCAGGTAGAGCACTCTAATCCTCTGCTCTCTTCTGGGGGAAGAGAAGGTCGTTTTGTTTCGTGGCCTTCTGCCCCCTCCCCCTCCCGCTTGACAACTCGACCAGAGGAGGGAACTAAGGAGGCCATATCAAGCCACCTTCTGATAAGGGGGAAAATGGGTACGGACTGGACAAAATCCCCAACCAATGAATCCCCTGCAGCAAATCATTCCTCCTATCCTGCTCAGTCTTGCAGTGCTACATGACCTGGCGCTGAAAAATGGATGGTAAATTTGTGACTGGGCACTTCGATTAAAGTCAGATGCTAAATAGTATAGAATTCGGTAGCTAAGTAGCTCCAAATGGCGCCTGCGCCAAAACGGGTGCTATATTCGTGAACATGGCGCTGGATAACAATTATAGTCAAAGTTCCGGTGAAAAAAAATGAGATTTCGGGAGAGTAATAGTTGAGTGGTTCTGAAAAATATATGGATCTACAATGAATTATCAAAATTTTCATCCGATAAAATAATGTAATACGGCACACGACGTGATGAGGAACAGCATGGAGCGTTCACAAAATGTGAACTAATACAATGGTAGAATCAGAAAATCAGCAGTGAAAGCGAAGCCATTCAAATACTCCGTTGCTTCTTACGATTATGTGAGACGACCGTAGCAAAGCGAGAGCTCGGTAAGGTACGCAGCGTACTTCTTAGCTCGAGAGCCATACAGCTCCCTGAAACGATCACGCTGCGGACCTTCTGGTAAATCCTCTTCAGGTAGGCATCTGAAATAGGCTTGCAATAGCTTCGAAAGACTGTAGCAAGTTCCATTTTGAAATTGCATATGATCGGAAACTGCACAAACCAGATTGTAGTACCATGATGAGAAGAATAGCGGTGTCTGCGACAGCCCGCCCCCCCCCCCGTGGTTTCCTCATCATCTTCCTGCCGACTTCCTTGCCACTTTTTCCTTGTTCTAGTTTTTCTCACCACTATTCAAGAACGAACGGAACGGAAGATGAAAAATCCTTGACTCTGAGTACGCACTTCTGTAACATTTTTGAAGGAACGACCCGCGATGGCCTATGAGAATGCAAATCCTTTGGGAAGGGTAGTATTGTCCGCAGTGGATAACCTTAAGTCAGTTTCGCGGCGGAAGTGTGAGGCGAAGGAGTAAGGCGCGAAGTTGCTCGAGTATCACCTACTTTTTCCAGTGATTCCGCCTCCAGACTCCGCCTTCAAGGTCAGCCTTCCAGCAAAAGGCGACTAGTGTAAGGATTGGATGCTCTTGGGGTCAGAGAGTTCATCACGAAGATACTGCTGACTGACTTGTCCCAACATTCGGTCTTCTGGCCTTTTACCCTCACAGCTGTTTGAGGTGGAGTGTTCCTGTTAAAGACGCCACCGACGTTCACTTTGGCTTTTCCAGACGAGTCCTTTGATTTTCTTTGGGGCGACTAGGCGACAGTGGTGGGGTGAGGGGGGGGGTTGCACTACTGTTACTTCCCATCGACGTGTCTACTCATCTAGAGAGCCTTTTTTGAGTTGACAGGTTTTACAATGATGACTCAACGACTTCGCTCCTTCACAAGAGTCCGCAGGTATCACCAGAGTGAGACATGTAAACCGGAACTAGTGAAGCAGCGAAAGAGCAAAATGCCCTCGTCGCCAATCTGCACCCTTCTCTTCCATGTTTCAACAACACTACCTACGCTTCTTATTGCGAACCGTGCCTTACGCCACTTACATGTTGTTTCTCTCGCAATGATCCCTGAAATCCTGTGCGAGTTGATTCAACTGCTCTGATGACTTAGTCTTGCAGACCTGCCTTCTAGTGCGAATCGGATGCGATACAGCAGATCGTTCGCTTTCGGCTGGCTTCTAAAATGGCTAAGAATTGCTCAAAATACTTCTAAAGAATGTAAATCAGTTATTCTCCTGTTGGAAAGATAACTCTGACAGTTGATTTATTTTCTTTACCAACAATCCTCTACTACATAAGATCGCTGCTTATGCATTATAAAGGCGGGCGAAGGGCTAACCGGTGAGACCAAGCCACATCCATTTTCTACTCGTTCTCAGGGCATTTTGTGAGGTCTTGTCGAGACCAAAAAGGCCACTTCACCGGTGATTTCACTAATCTCATTTGAAAGGCTTGCTGAAGGAATAAACTGTGAGGCAATCTTTGTTATCTTTGTTATGGTCACTTTTTGAAGATCATGAGAACAGTTCGCTTGTTTATCATCTGACAAATAGGAGGAGTCGTATGAAAATCCTGGTGAGCAGCTCTTCTGACAAGCCTAATTTTGTCAATGCCTGGTGCTTTGCTGAAGTTGGTCGCTACCACAACTGGGAGCTTGATTTTAAAGGCATATGGCACGTTAATTTGGTACTCGGTCTAAAATGCTAACAGGGTGCTACATTGGGGGAAATGGCTCAAAAGCCGAAGAGAAATTGACAAAAACCTGCGGAGAAAAATGTTTTTCTTAACGACTCAAAAACAATTCCGGACGAGTTTCCCAAAGGCATCTTGCCAATAACCGCTACGGTAGACACGGCTGCATGCGTACTTATATAGTGTAGTTCGCTGCGGACGGTTGGGCGTGTCAGTGCGGCTGCGTTTGGCGCGGTGCCAAACTCGTTCTCCACCAGTTGTTGAAGCGGGCAAGTGACAATACTGTATCATATCCTTCGTATTACTAATTTTCTACTTCTTTTTGTGCATGCGAGCTTCAACGAGAAGGCAGAAAAAGGCTTTGACGGGTGACACACTCATACTGGCTGACACGCCCAACCGTCCGCAGCGAACTAGAGTGTACATCCATGCAGCACCGCAGCCGCTTCATATCAATTCCCTTGCTTCATATTTTACTTCGCAAATGAAGCACACGGAGCATCCGTTTGTGGGCGGGCGGGAGCGGTGGGCGTCTGGGTCGGTATGTTGCAACTTGATAGAGTCTCATTGAGGCACCTTCTTGGAAAAAAGCGCTACACAGCGCTTGCCACGGCGACGAATTTTGTCTTGCCAGGTGTATTAGTCCGAACTCGTCTTAGAGATTTATCGTGCCAACTGCCTTTTTTGACCCGTGATATTAATTTGGGAATGAAATTCGTGGCGTCACCACAAAAGCCGTAGCTTTACGTAGCTGTTTTATTTATTCAGAAGCAGACTGCATTTGAATTCTACCAATTACAATCACCTATCCCGTCGATGAGAGCTTTCTCAAATGTTTTCGCCACATGGGGTACTGAGTAACAGCTGTACATAAATGTTGGTTGAAGGACCGTACACGCATTTCTAAGCCTTTATAGCTCGTAAAAGTGAGCTAGAGCTTTGAACTCGTACCTTTTCCTCAACCATCTCTACATTTCTGGCGTGAGCGATATGGCGCTTTTGGTGAGCCCGACCTGAAAAGAAAAATAGTTATTGAAAATGTCTCGTTTCTAACAACGCAGCTGCAGTTTAAGAGCGTTCTGACCTACATAGGAGGACAGCCTAACTTCTGCTTCTTGATAATGAGCTTAATGACTGCAAATTCTCACCACTTTTGTACGGCCACCAATCGATTCCGAGAGAAATAAATAGTAAGTCATGAGAAGTTTTCAATCGCGCCTATATTCTAGATGACTCCAATCAAAACAAACTAGACTGAACCATGGCAGCGATCTGCCGGCAAGTTGACTTGCGACACCCGAAGTGATAAGGAAGGCCAGGATTTGCTCAGTACATACAGAGAAAGAAGCTATTCTATGGTGGAACTCACGAATTCTTTTTGGTCTCGTTGAAGTCGCCCTACATTTTGTTACAGCCTGAAAGTAATTGACCTTGGCCCACCAAAATCGAAATTTCTCCACATTCAGTTACAGCTGCGGAAGTGAACTTGAAACAAGCCACAAATTCGCGTTCCAAACAGTTCTGAAGCTTCATTCAACAGCAAAACAGTGGGAAGGTAAGCAGATAATGAGAATTCAACAGGAAAAAACTATTCAGCGCCCTGAATATCATTATCCTTGGAATCAACTCCATAGGAGCTTCAAGGGTATCCAGGAATATTTGACGCCGAATACCTTTAAAACTGCTCACTTGTGTTGGTGGTCTTCTTGCCTTTGACTCATGATTCAACTCACCTCAAAGATGCCTGATGGGGTAGAGCTGAAACTTTTACTCGGTCAAATTGTCATCGATGCTGGCCTTAGTGGACCTAGATCTCACGTACTTTTCTGTTTATTTAAGGTAATTTTGAGTGATTTTGAAACAGTTATTCCAGGCATGCTTAATCTATATCTAGCATATTTCAGTAAACAAGTCAAGGAAAATCACCAATATATAATTCGGCTTTGTCTGTGATTGTTGTTGGTCAGTATGTTATGGTTTAGGTAAATTTGGTAGAGTTTGTGGAAGTGGTTCTGTCCGGAATTGGGTTGCGGGACCGGAACCCAGGACTTGTGGGGAGAGGGTCCAGTCAGAGGATGGGGATGGGTAGTTTTCGTGGGACAGGAGAATGAAAAAGCAAGTGACTTGACCTACCTGGGAAGCCCTGCACACAGTGGGCGGGGCCATACCGCCGACGGTTCTGGGGTTCTCAGTGCGGGTCCGGCAGGGAAAAAGTGTTCATCGGGGGCAATCGGCAGAATTGCGCTTGCGGAGGCCAGCACGACATGAGGAGATGGAGAAATAAGGGGCACTAAGGGTTAGTAAGAGACGCACTCGAAGAGATCACCAGACTAACTGTGGGCAGGTGACACTAATGGGCGGAGCGTACTCAAGGTAGGCGGTGCTTCTCGCAAAATTCAGTAACCCGAGAGTGTTCTGGAAGTCGCAAAAAACTCAGTGTAGAATGTAAATATCTGGCGAATATAGGGCACGCTCAAAGTGTGTTGAGACCCGCCCACAGTGGGCGGAGCTTGCCCTTAATCGCAGGGTAATCATTTCAAAAAAAAAAAAAAATTAAAAGTTTGTAGCCGGTTCCAGAACACTCGCAGATACCGGGAAGAAAAGTGGATAAGTGTCAGCAGAGATGTCCGGGGTTGAAAGGGATGTGAGTGGCAGAAGAAAAAATTGTGGCCGGAGCCTGCTCCGAGGTGGGCGGACCCAGACAAGAAGGGTCTGTAAAACGGTTCCAGAACACTCAAACACCGGAAAAAAGTGGATTAAGGTCAGCAGAGGGTCGTCGGTGAGGATTGTGGGGCAAAAACATTGTGGGCGGAGCCTGCTCCGAGGTGGGCGGAGCCAGACGAAAATTCTCTAAAACGGTTCCAGAACACACCACACACCGGAAAAAAAGTGGATTAAGGTCAGCAGAGGGTCGTCGGTGAGGATTGTGGGGCAAAAACATTGTGGGCGGAGCCTGCTCCGAGGTGGGCGGAGCCAGACGAAAATTCTCTAAAAACGGTTCAGAGACTCCGAAGACCGGAATAAAGTGAATTCAGGTCAGCAAGGGGTCGCCGATTGAGAAATGTGGGGTAGACATATTGTGGGCGGGGCCAGCCCGAGGTGGGCGGAGCCAGACGAAAATTCTCTAAAACGGTTCCAGAGCACTCCGAAGAGCGGAAAAAGTGGATTAAGGTCAGCAGAGGGTCGCCGGTGAGGATTGTGGGGCACAAACATTGTGGGCGGGGCTGCTCCGAGGTGGGCGGAGTCAGACGAAGAATCTGTAAAATAGCTCAAGAGTACTTCAGACACCGGAAAAAGTGGAGTACAGAACAAAAGGCGGATATCAGTTGAGTCTAGAAATATGTGAAAGAAATACGCGCGGCGAAGCCGGGCCGTATCAGAAGGAGCCGCGCCGGCGTCAGCCGGCGAGGCGACTGGTCAATAATAATTTGGTACAGAATTCCAGAATTTTTTTGCTTGTTTCGAGTTTCTTTCGCAGCTGTAACTAGGTTCTTCCAGTAGTGTCGCTATAGTACGAACCCACCTCTTTATATTGACCTTCCAGCTTCATGAAGTCATTCCAGGCACTTTCCACATTGTTTCTTGTTTCACATTCTGGCTCGCCTGTTTTTGCGAGGTGGCACTCTCTTTCCAATTGTTTGACTCGCTTGTCAGTCGCCATTCTCAAGATGGTGTCCGGCGAGCACTGAAGCTGAGGTGTAGAAACCACAAAGTAGGCACTCCTGTGTGGTCACTTGCGCACTGCGGCGAGATTATGGCCTTATTCGCTTGATGGACGGTGTGATGCGACGCTGGCTCGCTTCTCAATCAATTGGTCAAGAAAGCAAGGGACAACTATTGGTGTGAAACGGGCTGCAGCTTTGCCACTCTGGGCCTCCTCTGGCACGCTCCAGCATCCATAACGGACAAGACTGCATCTTCGTCGCGAGCAGCACAAGCACCGAACTCTACTGTACGGATGAAAAAGCACACGCCTCAACAGCCTGTCATAGAGTGCGTTCAGACTTCGTGATCGCGCGATCTAGTCTAGCGGTCGTGACGGCGGGCGCTCCCCCGCCAATCGGTGAAACGCCGTAACAACAGAATTGAATTGGAGCCGCAAAACGTTCTGAAAAGTGTGTTACTTTCCAAAGTGTTGTATTTTCCTATATTTCGCTTCGGACCAAATTTTTCAGATTCTTTAAGTTGGTTCACCGACTGGCGAATCCGTCCGCGATCGGCTGACTGGATCGCGCAATCCAGTCGAGCAATCGCGATGTCTCATAAGTAGGGCGCAACTTGGTGAAGGGTGAGATGGCGGTGTCGGTGCGACTCCCTTACCCTTTGCCC